GAAAATTTTTATTGGAACAGTTTTTTCATCTAAATCAGTTCCATGACCCAGTTAACCACATGCCACTTGAACATTTAGGCTAGTTGAGACAAGTATTTCTGCAGTAGTTCCCAAAAATCATTTGGAGATAAAGGTCAATTCATTGCTTATTGTGTGAACGTCTAAATCTTCGCTCCTGCAGTACTACTGCTGATAATCCTCTATATGCGCCATATGAGACTGCAGTCACTTCACATTCTATCAGTTTTAGCTACTAAGTAATTTGAATTGCATTCAAACTGTGATTCATGGAAGAAAAAAAATATATAAATATCATCACATTCTCTTATCCAAACAGGCCTCCTCCTTTTAACATATAATTTAAAAATCACACAAGTGATTTTTTTATATATTTTTTTTTTTTAACGCACCTGGTAATTCTGCGTAGTGACAGGTGGTGGTGGTGGTGGAGCTTCTTGTTGCCTCTGTGTATAACCATAATCTGTAGCTGTGTGCGCTGTAGGATAGCCTCCATAAGCAGCAGCTGTTGCAGCAGCTGCAACAGCTACTGGAGCAGGCCTAGCTACTGCAACTGTAGCTGCTGCTGGAGCATAGGCTGCAGTAACGGTGTGCGCAGCGACTGGTGCCTGGTGGACAGTGTAGCTAGCAACTGTAGTTGGATGGGAATAGGCTACACCTGAAGCTGGCTGCTGGCTATATTGGAAAAAGACAGTAAATAAATAATTAGATTAATTCAACATACTAAGCTAAAGCCTAAACATTTCAAAATCCCACATTTGATTAATACTTGTCCGTTCTACAAACAGACCTGGAGCAGCTATCATACACTTTAATTGCTTTTATTACCTCTCTTCCACCTCCATTAAAAAGGCTGTATCATTTTGAAGTTTCTGTGGATGTAGACATATCATGCAGGTGATGAATTTCTTCTTAGCAAGGGGGGTGTGGGGTGTGTAGGTGTGTTGTGTTCCACTGCTTGAAAAGAACCCAAGTCTTTCATTCAAAATAATACAGAAGTCTTACACTGTTAGCTTTTCATGACTGATAAGTGTTTTAGTAGTTCTTCAATAAAACTGACATACCTGTCAAATGAAGAAAAATACTACTTTTCTGTGAGAGCTCATTACTGACCTGTACTTGCATGATGTTTTTCAGTAAATCATATTAAAGTAATGAGATTTTAAAGACTTCCATGAAAATTAGCTCAGAACTATTAAATTTAAGGCAGGCACTTTAAATACACATCTCTGATAGGGGACTTTTCCCACAAAAATTTAGAATTATAAAAACTAGCCCCACTCACTCATACAGAAATCCCCTGCCTCACAACATGAAGCATCAAAAGAACAGTCAGATCAAGCAAGACGACTGCTACCAGAGCTCTGGCAATCTTTCAGGCACATGCTGAAACTAATCTGCTTCTCTTAAATTTGCAGGTAGGACATTAATATGTGGCTATTTACTAAGAATGAGTAAGTATTAACAGCAGAAATAAAAAATGATGGCTTCAAAGGCTTAATTATTTGAACTAACTAATATTATTGTCCTATATTGAACTATAACTGTGCATTATGATTAAAAGCCTACAATAGTTATTTTTCTTTTTTAACAAATAAAGTGAACTGGGCAAAATATCACTATCTGGAACAATGATATCAAATGGGGATTGAGTGATTGTTCTGAATTTTTAGTACACTTCCTGCACTGCTTTTCAATAATATTTAAGAATCTTTTATGGGTTTCACATCTCCACAGTAGTTTTAAGAGATAATTCTTGCAGTTGTTCTTTGCACCTATCCTAATATTATCTACTCTTCTTTCTTGACTACAGATGGCAAGAACTGTATGCATAATTTCAAATGAAGTTTCAGCTGTGCTACCCACTCTGCTCCGGACTTTCTTTCCAGTCTAGCTTCCTCAGAGCAGCTTCTTGTAAAGTTATCTGTGTATTGACAATATTTCCCTTGCATCAAATATCACGACACACTGTGCTAATATAAATACTAAGTAAGACTCAAGACCAATCCACTGCAATTAGTCCAATTTGATAACCACTCTTCTAATTCTACTAACCACCTCTACCAGCTCCTTCTCTACAATTCTTTTACTAATCTCTACCTTAAGTAATAATTTTCCATACTGCACCACATCAAGTATTTCAACTTAGTCCCAAAAAATAAGACTCCAAAAGACTTAGGCACCTGATCAAGCTATTAAATAGCTAGCTAAACTGCTACATGCATATCCCTATTTCCCCACACTCTTTGCTTCCTCCTCCCAAATAAGCTTGCTTCTATTCAAAAGTTTTACACCTCAGTGTATACCTAGCTTGCTCTCATCTTCCACATCTTACCTAAGGAACCTCAAGATCAAGAGAATTAATTCTTTACACACAATTATTGTACCACGGTGCATGAGAAAAGTATTTTTTGTAAAACACATTTGATTCAAATCTTTGAATAACAACTCTACTAATTTCTATTGACAATAATGATGGAAAATACTAATCTTTCTGATGCATTAGCATCAGAAAAAGTTCCACATATTATGAAATACCACTATGATATTAAACCTCCTAGGTAAGACTGCAGTGTGCTGTGACCGTGTATCTTTCCCCACACTAATCTCCAATTCCACGTCAATCTGATTTTCTGAGGAGTGAAGGGCCATATTGGCTCACAATCTTGCAGAATTCATCCCAGAGCAAAGGCCACAGCAAAAATTAGCCTTTCCCACATTGCTATCTGGTATACGAAACTCCTTTCACCAAGTGAAATGAAGTTTTCCTAAGACAGGTGCATGCTTTGCTTTGATACTTTGCAAGCTAGACATAAGTCTAACACTGCTGCTACTTTCATGGTATCAATATTTAATATTGCTGTATACACACTGAACTGTGATTCTGAAACAGTATAACATGTAAAAATATTTTTCCTATTCACAGATTCTAAGTCTCCATTCCAAAACACTAAGGCATCAAAGAGTTATTAATTCTAGAGAGTTAGTAATTTTTATTCCCCTTTTCAAAAACCCAAATATTCAAGAAGCAATTAAAAAAATCTTTTCTGAACTGCACAAAGATCTTCAACAAGGGAACTGTAGGAGTGGTTTTTATATAGAAAAAGAAATACAGGCTTCCAAAGTGAAAAAAGATGGCAGCACACCTAAAATGATTTTAAGTCAGAAGCTGACTAGGAGGCAGAACGTGCTGATCAATAGCAATTAATAAAGTATTGGTGTCCATTTAGCAAAACATCGTTCTCCAGTTCCAAAACACACAGGTTTGTCCAATTTAAATAGCTATTTAATATAGATTTGCAAGCGAACAACATTCTTCCACAAAAAAAACCCAACAAGCTTTGATGAGAACTTATAATTAGATCTAAAATAGCAGAATCCTCACTTGTTAGTTACTTTTATATAGCGACACTGATAGAAGGTCTGGATTTCCTGCAATTTATCAGCCCAAGAATGACAGAGAATCAAGATCATTTAAATTTAAGAAACAAACTACTACTACATACTAAATTATCTTCTGGAGAACACTTTGCTCTTGCCCTTTTTCATTTCCAGCTATTAGCCTTTTCTAGTAAAAAAAGTGTTGAGGTTTTCCTTGAAAAAAAAAAAAATTAAAGGTAGAAAGCTTTATTTATTTATTGCACATTAACAATATCAAGAAAATGCAAGACTTTGATGTAATGCTATCTATCTTGCCAGGTAATAACTACAGATGACTTAAGATTGTAAAATATTTTATTTTCCACATTAGGATATTTCTGGAATAAGTAATGCATTAAGAAACTTAATTAGGCATCTGTAACAATTATTGTCAGAGGAATACACTTTCAGAAAAACACAGTCTGTTTCTATATAAGATATATAGCACATAAAAGGTATATAGAGAGGAAAGCACATAAAGATCCCCTATAAGCCTTGCTTTTCATGGCATCAACTGATTTAATTTAAAAACAAAAATGAATTGTAATTCATGTGCACATAAGCCGAAGGAATATAAAAATGCTGATCTCCAGTGCATCTCTGTATTAACAACCAACACACTGCTGCTATTCCAGCTCCATTTAGGGCAATGAACACTGAAAACTCTCTTCCTAGAGGCAAAGGACATTTAATTATTTTTTTTTAATTTTTTTTTTTTTTAGTTTTCTGAAGAGTGCTTTTTTGATATAGAGTTACGATCAGGACTAAAACCAATTTTGTCTCTACCCAAACTACCAGCTTCCTCAGAAATGAACACTTCTAAAACATATTTCTTGCAAGTTTTTTTGCATGCAAATGCAGAAGTGATTTTCAGGCTAGCTTAGCACAACTCTTAAGCTAAACCCCACACTAATTAGATCCTTATTTCTTGAATTCTAACTTTTAGGAATATTTGAAAATTTTAGCATTAAGGAAACCATACTCATTGAGACCTAACTGCCAGATTTCTCAAAGTTTCATAGAATAATCTATTAGCATCAGAATAGCAAAACATACAGTTTTGCAGTTTTTCTTTCAGGGTTATGAAGACCGGAACAAGTATGACCTAACTCTCCAAAAACTGAAAAGAACACTATAATCTGCTGCTTCTTCAATTTCTAACCTAGGAAGAGGCACTACTGAGTAACTGGTCAGATGAAGTTTCAGGTGTTTTAATGGAACCTGGACAGAGCAAAGTAAAAACAATATAATTAAAAAAAAAAGGAGCTTTTTTCTCCTAAACACACTTGACAGCATAAAATGGTGAAATGAAATATCACACTACAGTAAGTTGTATTTTAGAAGAGACTTAAGTGTTTCTAGAGCCTGTCACTCACTATAGGCATAACATTTTGAAGACTGAATTTATCTTTTTAGAACTTTAATGAAAATTATTTCCTATTATTACAATGTTATAAACAGAACACTGTTTGTAACGCAATTCACTAGACCTGAAGGCATACACATGTGCAATCCCCTCTTGAATTCTGTTAAATTTTAGCAGTTCCTGGTAACATATTCTACAGTTTAACTACACAGGGACAAAAAAAAAAAAAAAAAAAGGAAAAAAAAAAAAGTTCTCTGAAGCAATTTTGAGTTTCCGTTCCTCTTCCTTGTTTCTAAATTCATCCTTGTGTCATTCCATTAAAAACCAAAATACCAATTGCTAATGGATAGCTAAACCATATACTATCAATAACTCAAAGATGAATAGCCTCATGTTTTCAACACACCCTTACTGCTTTGTTCAACGTCACATTTAGTCTCACTACCCGATTGAAATGCAATCAAATTCTGCAATGATTTCCTCAATGTACATCACACCATAATTGCAAGTGTCTAAGTGATGCAAATACACACTTCATATCTACCTCTCTTCACTCAGTTGCACACAATGGACAGTTCAATGCCTAAATGCCTATACTGCTTTCTTCATTATCAAAACACTGATTTTATTCAAATCTAGTTAACAGCCATGCTCACAATGATAACACAAGACAAAAAGAACAGAGCTCGAGATGTTATGTCTGCCTGAAAAAGTACTAACCACTAACATTCAAAGTCAAAGAACACAGAATCAAAGAATGACTGAGGTTGGAAAGGACCTCTGAAGGTCATTTGAGGGTCCAAATGCCCTGCCCAGCAGGGCCACCTAGAGCCAGTTGCCCAAGACCATGTCCAGACACAACCAGTGCTCAGTCACCCTCACAGTGTTTTA